TAGATGAGGATTTTATCACGCTGTTGCCCAATCAAAGTTATGCGTGGAGGAAATCGTTAGCACCCCTGGCCTCCTTTCATGTCAAACCAGACCAGCCCCCCTTTTATTCCAGTGGCTTTAAGAATGTAAGAGTTATACTGCATGAGGCCAGCCTATGAATTATTATTAATAATAATTAATTTTATTTCTAGATGCTATTCATCCAGCTACCTCAATTTCATCTGTGATGCCCAGAGCAGTTTCCCAGGGATCTGACAAGCATCTTTCCCAGTCCTACCTGAAGACACACCTGGTCTGTACTTCATGAAAAGCAAGCCTGCTGCCTTTATGCAAATATATCCTGAATAATTTCCACACGCTCCTTTTCCTGTGATTTGGCACTGGCATCTCCCCATCGAGTTTTATTAAGTGCTGGGTTGCAAAGGCATATGAAGTGTTTTCATTTTCTTTCCTGTGCTAATTGCTTCAAGAATATATTTTGAGCTCTTCCAACTCTGCTGTTGCTATCTGCACACTCTAATAAGCTGCAAAAAGAAAACCAAAACCTGCTAATAATGGTCTTGGAAAGGATCACCTGCTCAAATATCCCTAAATATGCAAGCAAATTAATTTAGAAGTTAACCTCAATCAAGTATTTACATCTACCAGAAATTATCATGCTCGTTTTGCAAACTATTAGCAGCTCCACTGTGAAAATAACTATTTTGGAAATGCAATTTGCCCTCAAACACTCCCAATAAATCCTAGAATACTTTATTAAGGTATCCCCTCTCTTGACCCCCGATTTAAACAATTATCATCATGATTGAAACCAGCCCTTTCAGGACAAGATCCTGAAGGGCTCAGCAACTCATTTCCTCCAGCTTTTCATGGATGAAACTGACAATTTAGAAACCTTCCAATTTCATTTCCAGCCTGGTTTGTGGACCGTGTGACCTTGTTTTCATTTTCCTGGATTTCTCAGTGGCTGTTGTGTTGCTTTTGCAGGGAGCAATTGTGAGCATGTGAGTTGCATTTATTTAAGGTGCAAATGTAGCCACCCTTAAACAGAAAGGGGAGTACAATGTCCCATCCATTGTAGTCTTTTTCTGCAGTCCACTGTGACACAATCCAATGGATACGTAGCCCAGAATAAGCCTCATGACTTTCAATAGGATTTATTCAGGAGGTGAGGCTGAAACAACATGAGCATTTTCTTGGGAGTAAGTCCTATTGAACTCTGGGGTTAATTCTTAGACATATCTAAGATTTTTTAAAAAAATGATTTTGAATTAATTATAGGACTTGTTTAAATAATGGAATCTCAAGGATTGCTCTGTTCATCTTTGTCCTGTGAAATTTCAAGAGTCACATGAAACCAAACCTTCTGTGACAACAATCGCGACCTGGCAGACTAGTTTCTGGGTAGCCCTTTCGCTTCTGCTTCTTTGAGGAATAGATCCAGTTTCACCTCTCTTTTAATGGGTCCAGAGGGCCAGTGGGGTTGCCTAGGGGTTAGAGCAAAGAACTAGGATTTGAGAGATCTGGGTTCTAGCCCTTTCTTAGCCAGCCAGCTCACTGGTCAGTTTTGGACTCTCCCTTCCTCACAGGGTTGTTGTGGGAATCCAGTTGTGGAGACGAGAGTCCTTTGAGATGCCTCGGGTTCCTTACAAAAGGGGAAAAATAACATTATTGCCCATGATAGACTTCAACACACCTGAAAGTCCAGTACCATCTGTTCATCACAGACAACGCAGCAGTTTTTTGCTGCAATGTCTCCATACTGCTGTCAAATCTTGCAAGACTGAAGGAGGGGAAAAGGTAGAGCCGAATTACGCCCAACTGCAGACCACGCCACCCTGCTGAGATGCAGACTAGTTACTCAGCCTGCAGAGGATAAAAATCCCTGCCAAGACTTTGACGCGTTTTGCTAAAGAGAGCAATCCTAATTATAATAATAATAATGATTATAAATTCTGTTTAACAATGGGGAGGGGAGGGGAAGATTTTGTGTGCATGGCACAAGACAGGAAGGGTTATTCTCGGAGCAGGGAAGACGCCCCCACGCCACGACAATTTCTCCCCCTCCGCAATCCGGGGGTCTGTGGCTGAGCTCCTCTAATGCTTTCTGACAAGCACTGCATGGGAGGGGTCTTCAGGGATGGGGGGCAACTTCAGCTAGCAAGATGATGGCCTGGAATAATGCGCTTTAGCAGGCAAGGGTTGCCAAGTGGTTAACAACAACTCTGTTACCAAGTCAGACTCAGATGCACTATAAATAATGCATCTGCAGGGGTTGTTTTTAAGGCTCATCAGCACTGGGAGGCACCTGTGCACAAGCTCCTCTTGAGTAAACCATCCCTCAGCAACAAACTTGGTCAGATGTCAACAATCGCTGTTCCCCTCCACTGGCCACCGCACTTCCCATCTAATGCCTAGAAAAAGCCCAGTTGACGCTCTGATTGTTCCCAGCAGCAAATGATTGAGAGATGAGGCATTGTTCCCTTACACAAGTTGGATGAATGTCTGCTGGTGATACTTCTGGGACTCAGTATTTGGGGTGGGGGGACGGAGGGCGAGAATTAGCAATGAGCGGTGCAGTGAAGCAGGAATGGAGATCAAGCACATTCTCAGCCGGTCATGATAAACCAGAGGGTGCTGCTATTCTCTGACGGAATCGTGTAGACGGAAATAATTTTACAGGATCCTTTTACTTATCACCTTTTAAAAGTATTGCCACTGATGCTTTTGCGTTCTTTTTGTATTGGCTCTGTTGTGCCTCCCTTTATTATACAGTCACCCTGAAAGCACCATGTTGACTCTCACTCTGGACGTATCCATCAGCTCAGCGGTCCGCATTTTCCGTGCTCACCTCTGAATCTACCTGTCTGCCAGGTAGGCATCTTGCTGAGCTGAAGATAGTTCGGCCTCATTCATTCATTCCACACCCAGCCTTGGCATTCCAGGCTGCCCACTCTCCAAGTTTATGGTGATCCTTTAATTGCGCCAGAGCCTTCATGGAGTACTGACTGCCCTTGTGAAATGTTTATATTGTATGTTATTAGTACAAGAAATACAATGTGGATTTTTTTCAATGGAGAGAGGCAAAATACCTCCCTTTGTATTTCTGAGTGTTCAGAATGTGCTGCATTACAAATCCCATCATCCCCAACATGCATGCTCATTTGCTGACTGGGAATGAGTTGCAGCCCAATCCAGACAGAACGTGCTTATTTTTTCCTTGAGAGGAAACCAGGCTGGGTTTAAGTACAGTGCAATGTTACAAAACCTTACGGCTGACGCAACAGAGAGTTTCCAGTATTCCCAGAGCTTCTGTGCCTTGCTTTAGAGTCACTGGCAGGCTGTACTTAAGCCACATTTAACACACACACACACACACACTTGGCTAGGAAGATATGCAGAGCTGAAGCTGATGAACAAAGCTGACTTGATGTCTTAAAGCCGAAAGAAGGACCACTGGTAGTTCTCCCAAAAGAGCCGTTCTCTTGCCCCGGGTGCTGCAATTCACGTCTGATATTTGTCCTTTGAGGCTCTTGTGTACAATGACACATTTTCCACATTTTGCATGACCCGACTTGTCATCGCTCCTGTTTTCAGATCCCACTTTGCCAGCCTGGTTTCTCCCCAACTCATCCCATTGCCAAGCTTCCACAGTGGCACCGTCAGTACCGTGCCAGTCAGACTCCCAGGCCAGCTCTCCAAGACACGCATCCCTATTGGGCAGAGGCGGCAGAGCTGGGAAGAGCAGCCGTGCATTTCGAGAGGCGTGCGCCAGGGTCCCCTGCCCGGCTCCCAGGTTTACGTGACCACCAGCTCCCATCTGCCTTTTCTGCTCTGAGGACGGAACCACCTCACAGGCAAGATGACACTGGGTGATTCCAGGCCCGGTCACAAGCACTACCTTCCAAGGTTGTTGCGAGAGGTCGTAACCAGCAGTTAAGCCACCTTGCCCTCTTTAGAGGAAGAGCAGGGGACAAACAGAGCCCCGTACAAAGGATCTCAACCCCGTCCTTGTGATGTTTCTCCCAATGGCCAGACCTGCTTCCTTTCAGCAGCAGCAGCTGTTGTTATTATTTTTACACTGCACTTCCATAGCCAAAGCTCTCCGGGTCGTTCACAACATTTAAGTCGCCCACCCAGAGGTCAGCCAGGCCTGATCCTTCCAGGGTCGCTGCTCGGCTTCCAAGACTAGGCAGGATCCGGCACTTCAGGCTCCATGGAAGCTGGAGGGGATGCATTTATTTAACGCTCTCCTACACCGCCCTTCCCTAAACAGTCCCAGCAGGCAGGGCGCTGGCTTGGGCACCGCTGCGCCACGATCACCCCCCCGGGGACTTTCTGGCAAGGCGGGCGTCCGTCCAAAGGCTGCCCAAAGGCTGCCGGCCGCAGCGAAATGGCTCGGCGGGGGCAGCCGGAGCAGGCGGAGGAAGCCACCGAGGCAGGGCCGCACGAGGGGCCCCGGGCAAAGCAGTGTCGGGGCCCCGACGGCAACCACCACTGCGGTTCATTTGGGAAGTGTTCCCATGGGCCAAGGGCTGACGTGCACAGGGCAGCACGGGGCCCGCGGGCAAGTGCGCATCGGGCCCGCGCGTGAAGACGGCCCTGCACCGGCGCGCTCCTTCCAAGCGGGCGGGCGGCCCCCCTCGGGGCCGGCTGCGCCCGTCGCGGGCACCCCCGCGCCCTGAAGCCTCTCGCGGGCCGCGCAGGGCCCGCCCCGCGCCCTTCGCCTGCCGCCTCTCCGAGCAGCCCCCGGGCGCCGCCGACGCGCCGGGCAGCCCAGAAGGGCCGGGCAGCGCGTGCGAGCACCGCCCCGCCCCGCCCCGCCCCGCCCCTGCATGCTGGGAGCTGCAGTCCGCGCCGGGCGGCCCTGCGTCGGCGGACTACAGGGGCCGACTACAGCTCCCAGAGTGCTGCGCGCCGGAGGGCCGGCGGGGGAGGAGGGCGCCTCCTCGCCGGGCTCCAGCCGCCCGGGGTTTGCGCGGGCGGAGGCGGCGGGGCGCCGCAGGTACCGTCTGGCTGGGGGCGGCTCGGCTCGGCTCGGCTCGGCTCCGGGCGCGGTGATCGGGGCGGCTCCGGGCGGACGGGCAGCCGCGCAGCAGCCTTTGCCTGCCGAGGCCGGAGGCAGGTAAGCGGCGGGAGGCGAGGCGAGGCGAGGCGCGACGCCGGAGGCGCGGAGCCCTCGCTGCTGCCCGGAGGCGCCGAGGCGTCCGTGGCGCGGCGCATCCTCGGGAGCGCTGCCCGGGCCCCGCATTCGCAGGCGCCGCGTGGCCTCGGGCTCAAGGAAGGGATGGGGTGGCGGCGACCCGCCCGGGCGCAGCTGCCCCTTCCAGGCGAGTCCAGACCCTTCGTTCCGGGGGAAGGAAGCGCGGGGGGGGGGGGGGCCTCCCGTCCACGGCAGCCCAGATCCTGAAACGTGCGGGGAAAGGATTGGTCCCCGTGGCGCGAGAGCTTCAGGGCGCCGAGGACGAGCGGGCCGGAGGGCTGCCTGGCGCCTGCTTGGTTACCTGGCTGCTGAGCCGAAGGAGACCCACCTGAAACGCTTCCACCCCGCGGTGTCCTGCGCGCATGCAGAATCCAGGGAGAAACTTTGGTGGAACGTTTGCAGGGGCTTTCCCGTAAGTCCATCCCCGAGTTGTTGGTTTCCCCTTCTCCAAATTTCTCGCTCCCTTGCGAGCATCCCTGGCCAGGAGACCTGCTCCTTTTCCTCCTGGAAATAAGCTCCGCCGAGGGTCGTGGGACTGCTTTGTCCGAGAAGGGAGCGAGCCCGAGTGTTACTTTTCTCCAGCTCCTCTTGCATTTTGCCTTTGGGATGGTTCCCTTTGGTGTTAAGATGCCGGCTCTAAAATGAGCCGAAACGTGAAGCAGGCGGTTGTTGAGTCAGGCTTCCCTGAGCCTCGGACCCGTGCAGGGCCTGATCCGGCCCCCCACTCAGCCCTGCAGGGTGACCCACTTCCCTTGGTGACACCTGGCCGTGCCGCATCTTGTGCTCCCTGCCCGGGACCGCGCCTGCTGCCTGCCTGCCTGCGAAGAGGACTCATGCTGAGTCGGTGCCTGTGCAAATTAGCAAAATGATATGTTTCCAAACACTTCGGTTTATTTACGCAGCAGAGCTGTTCCTGAATGGGAAGTGGTGGGTGGGTGTTGATTCCCCTTGCCGAGCTTCTCTTGTGGAATCTGACTGTCTGTGCAGGGAGGGCCTGGGCTTGTGGCACATGGGTATCTGCAGTCATTTGCTACAGGAGATGAGCGGGGAAGCTTTGAAAGTAGCCTTTGCTTCAGGTATGTTCCAGAGAGCCCCAGTTAAACATAGTATCCGAATGCTAATCTTTAAATCCCGCCGAAGAAAGCCACCCCTCCCTCCCCGTCACCATGTAATTTACATAACAGAGATAATTCGAGAGGAGCATTTAAAAAAATCTTGTTAGTGTAGACTTGCGTCTATATTTAGAAGTCCAATGACCCGAATTTCCACTCTTGCTTTCTGATGGAGGGCTGCATGTGCCTGGAAAATTCCCAGTAGCCAAAACAAGTTGTTTGGGGAGAGAGCGGATGAGTGGCGGTGTGGAGACGGGAACCCCATGAGGATGGCTTAGTATTTTGAACTCCTGGTTTTTTATTTCTTAAATTCTTCTGCCCAGATAAGGAAGACTTGGTGGAGATCCTCTGCAGACATGGCCATATTGAAGTGCGGCTGGCTCTGGAGACAAAGTAAGCTGGCTTGGGGATGGCTGCGGGGGTGGTACGGGGACCCCTTTCTTTGGGGGCTGCTAGGCGGCCGGCTGGCTCTTTTCCCGTGTTTGCTTTGCTCGCGATGGCATTTGGAGACAGCTGCATCTTCTGTCTCCGTGTATTTGGGGCAGCTGGGGGGGGGGAGTTCTCGTCACAGTCTGGATTTGGGGGCTTAGCAGTCTGTACTTGCTTGGACACAAGTCCCTGAATGTGGCCAGAACTGTGAACTCAAGAGATGTTTGGCCAGATCCTCTGAGAAGGAGGCCAGAGATGGGCTGGAATGTCTTTGCGTCTCCGAGGCATCCGTTTCACCTCACCGAGAAGCAGGATGTAGGACTGGGCCAGGGGGACCCATCTGGTGTCTGATGACCTTCCAATACCTGAGGTAGAAAATGCACATGGATACCGCCCCCCCGCCCCGCCATTGCCAAAGTGTTAAAATGCAGTAGGTTTCTTAGCTGCCACTTTGCTTCCCTCTAAAGATGCCCCCAAACCCGTTACTTCCATTGCCCTCTGGATGTTTCAGACTGTGCTTTCCATCATCCCCAGCCTGCAGGGCTGTGACAGCTGGGGATGATGGGGGTTCTGGTTCTGGTTGCCAAGTTGAGGAAGGCTACTCCAAGGAATCATCTGTGTTGGTTGACGGGCATGGATGCTTTGGAATGGGCCGACTGACTCGATAGCAGAAATATTTTATTCATCCTCTGAGCAGATAAAAATGTGTCCTGCATATTAAAGAAGCTTTTTGAGTGCATCTTCCTCCGGGCTGAAGGTGTTCCTTTTTTGCTTCTGTGTGTATTTGTCATGTCTGCAGATAAGGGTAGGGCAGGGCCGAGTGGCGCCAGCAGCCGCTCGCTCGCTCGCTCGCTCCTGGGCTCTGTAGCTGTAGGGCCGGCCCTGAAGACGGGGGAAGCACTCCCTTTCCTCCTCGCTCTTGGGAAATGGTGAGCAGGCAGCCCAGGGGGAAAGGGCACTCCGGAAGCTTCGGTGTGTGCGCAGGATCCTGTCCCCACCCCTTGCACTTTTCACGGGCCAGGCTTTGTCGTGAGGGCATTTCAGGAGGGGAGGGGAGGAAACCACTTCTGGGTTTCTTTCATCTCCACCTCTTCTTGCTCCCGTCCCTCAGTTTCCTGATCTTGGAGGCCAGCTGTTGTGGCAGAACACTGGATGTCCAGTGTCCCACTCAGAGGTCAGAGCATTTTTCGCATTAGGGAATCAAATCTTTCCTATAGTTCGGGTTGCTCTCTCAGTCCCATGGGATTGCTTCCTTAGATGGTTATGAAATAAACAAGCTTTCTGTAATGGCCTGTCTAAAGGCAGGAAGAGAAGGGGCTGAGCAGATCTCACTCGGGAAGGCTTTCTGGTACTGCAGTGCTACCAGCGAGAAGGCTCTGTTCCTGGTACCCATCAAAGGTACTTCCACCAGGGATGGGCCACAGAACAGAGCCTTGAAATAGGATCCCAGGGCTTGGGCAGGAGCACGTAGGCAAAAGCACTCCTTCCAAGCCCTTAATGGCTTGGAAAGTCGATGCCAGCATCTTTAATTGGGCCTGGAAACGGACCAGCATTCTGTGGCTGTAAAATCAATGTAAAGCACTCGGATTGCAGAGCATCAGCTGACACGCAGCCGGTCGCATTCTGCTTCCATGGCAGTTTCTTAGCCACCCTTAAAGGTAGCCCAACACAGAGAATCGCAATTGTGCCTTTCCTTATTTGCCGCAGTAACCTCGCGGCCTTTCGGCCGAGGCCTGCCAGGGCTTTCTAAAATACCAGAATGGGAAAAGAGAAAGAAAAGTTACACGAGGCAAAGCCAGGATGCTTCCAACTCGCCTTGGGCCATCAGAGGTCGCTGCAGAAGGCAAGCCCTTCTGTGCCCTGACCGGGCAGCGTATCTCCCTCTATTTGCATGGGAGGAAACCCACCGATTCCGGGAGCATTTGGCAAGGGGCGCAGCTGGAAGCACAGGCAACCAGGCACCAGCCTGTGACGGGGGCTGTTGACCAAAAGTGCCCAGATCTGGCTGAATATCAGAAAGGGGGAGCCAAACCAGGAAGGAAAAAAAGTAGGTGGTTCCTGTAGGAATGGACTGGACAATACGGGCGGAATTGGGGCCCCCGGTTAGGCAGGCCCTCCTAGCTCTGCAAAAAGCCAACAGCTGCAGGGAATGACTGCTTTGGCCGGCAGCAGGATCCACGGCCCTCGGCGCTCGCCCCAGGCCAGCTCCAAAATGGCGGCTGCGTCGTTGGCAGCGCCAGGTAGGGCTGGGGCGGGTTGGCACTGCGAGCAAAGCTTTTGCGGCATTTGAACACCTGGGGGATTTTCAGGGTCCCAAGGGAAGGCTCGGGGGGGGGGTGGCAGACCACTGAGGGGCCACCCGAGCTGGGCCTACTGAGGCAGTGGCCCCTTCTCCCCACGCCGCTCCTGCAGGACACCTTCTCCTGGAAGCCGCACAGGCGAGAAGAGCAAGCTGCTGCCCGTCCACACGGTGCCTCCCGCTTAGTGCTTTTGCCTCTCCTCGGGTGTCAAGGACACGATCCTGCGCAAGGTGGAAAACAGGGACCTTGAATATATGTCCCTGCTCTTTGCACGAAGTGGTGCCAAGGGGGCTGACCTCCTTCTGCAGAGAACGGTCCGTTTCTGGTCCAAGGACAGAGATGCGAAGCCGCACACACCTGCATTCAGCTGAAATGCACTGTACTTGCACCCAAATTCTAATAAGTATTTTGAACTGTAAATATAAATGAACATATGCAAAGTTCACGTGAATGTTTTCCTTTCTTTTCATCCTTTTTTGAGATGCCTTGCCCCCCCTTTTTTTGCAATTAAAGCGCGCGCGCGCGCGCGCTCACACACACACACACACAGGAGACCCAGTGTGGTACAGCATTTAGCACGTGGGACTGGGATTCAGGCGATCTGGGTTCTAGTCCCCACTCGGTCATGAAGCCCCTGGTGACTTGAGAGGTCACAGGCTCTCAGCCTAAGCTGCCTCCCAGGGCTGTGCCGAGGATAAAAAGAGGAGGGGGCCCTTCTAAATTGCCCAGGGTTCCTTGCAAGAGGAAGACAGGTGGGGTATAAATGCGAGGAAAGTGGAAGCCCAAATAAGCAGCACCCGACCAGTTAAAACCCAGTTCTTCAACAAGCCAGCCAACATGCGGAAGCCTTTCTGGGAATACTTGAGTGAAAACTTTTGAGACTTGTACGCGTGGCGTGCCTGGTCCCTGCCCACCAGAGTTTCCCGGTTAATTTTTATTTATTTTTCAATTTATATCCTGCCTTTTTCCTACAAAGGACTCAAGGCAGCTTACATCATTCTCCTCCTCCATCTTATCCCCACAACAACCCTGTGAGGTAGGTTGGGCTCAGAGTCTGTGACTGGCCCAAAGTCACCCGGTTTCTTTCACACCTCGGGTGGCTGTGGCACAGAAGCACAGCCTTCCCAACTTGGTGCCCTCAAGATATGCCAAATGACACCTCCCAGCATTCCCCCACCAACGTAGTGGGGAATGCTGGGAGGCATACTCCAACACATCCGGAAGGTGCCAGTTTGGAGAAGACAGAATAGGACAGACGGTTTCCATTCCATCCGTCTCAGCCAGGCTTCTTTGACCTGATGCCCTGCAGTTGTGCTGGGCCTTCTCGGATGGTGGCTGGGGCTGATGGGAGCTGAAGCCAACAGTGTTGAGATGGCACCAGTCTGGGGCGGCTGGCCTAGCTCGTGAGAAGATGAGAGCTGTCATGGCCGTTCTAGACCAGCGTTCTAGAGCGGCTGAGGCTGCAGCATCACACCCCCACTCATGTTTCCATGCCACCGCCCCCCAGGTGCATGCTGGGCCCTGGTACTGGGCAGCGTGGCAGAACCTGTTGCTCCGTCGACAGCAACTGATAGCTCCGTAGTGACTATCTAGGCCTCTGCCTGGAGTTCGCGAGAGCTGAGCAGGGCTGTGAAGGACAGGTCCTTGCGGAGGCGTCCATTCATAGGGTTGCCCTTTTCCAGAGTCACACAGCATTGCTGGGTGCTTGCTCTCCAGGGCTTCAGACTAGGGTTTTTCTCAGCCCCGTCTGAGGATGCCAGGGACCGAATCGGGGCCCTTTTCGTGCAAAGCAGCTGCCCAGGCACTGAGCTGCTTCCCTCCACGGCCGGCAAAAATCTTCCTTTGCCTGGTGTTCCCAACACGCCGTTGATGCATGTGTTACCTAGGGTCCAGCCCCTGATTAAATAACACATTAAGCAATTCTTGTAGCCTTGTGTGGTTGTCATACACCACAGGGCATCTCCGTGGAAAAACTGGAGCACATTCCAAGTACCATATGGAGCACAATCAAAAAAAAAAGTGAATAGTTCATCCAAATCCAACCGATAAGGGCCACATGGTCTGGGGTGCGTATTTAGGCAGCAAAACCCCCAGAAGTCCCAGCGTATTCCAGGCAGCATCCTGGCGCTTTCGCTCCGTGCTTGCAGCGCCTCCCTCTGCTGTGAGCTGAGCCGCTCACGGGCCTCTTTTTTAGCCGCTCATGAAATTTGCGCAAATGAGCCCCTGCAGAACTCCAGGCTGTGCCACGATGGGTGCAGATTTGCGCAAATTGCACTTTGAGCAGATTGCACTAGAAAAAAGCACCCTCTGTGGGCCCTCTTAGAGCTGGAAATTCATACAAACGCCAAGTTGGAGCCGGAGGTCTGTTGAGTCCAAAGGAGCCGGATTTCCTCGTTTGGGCTGATCTCTTGTCCAGCATTCTTACCAAACAGTGGCCAACTGGCTCCCCACAGAAAACCACAAGCAGGACAGGGCAGGAGAGCGACTACACCTCCCACCCATGTTCCCCAGCAACCCGTCTACATGGACACATGTCTCTGATCCCGGAGGCAGCATAAAGCCTTCAGGTCCAGTGGCGTGGAGTGGCTGATCCTGCCTCATCTTGGAAGCTAAGCAGGGTCAGGCCTGGTTCGAATCCAGATGGGCAACTTGAGTGTAGGGTCCTGTTATTGCTGTGAGGGCTTTGACTTCAGGTAGTCTAGAGGAGATGGTGATGATGATGATGGTATAATAACATCGCTTGCTTCATCTAACCCGCTTGGGCTTCTCAGCATGTGTTCCTGTGTATTTTAACTAGTGATGCTGAGATTAAGCTGGGAGGCTTCGTCATGTGAAGCAGTGGCTCTTTCCCACTGATGTTCAGAAGAGCGCGTGAGCTGCCTCCCTCCACCCTCGAGGCCCCAGAGGTGGCTGCCCCCCCTCCCTCTGCAGCTCCCGAGAGCAGGGGAGCAGTCCTCGTTTGAAGGCCACACGTGCACGTCTTCCTTTCACAGGACAGCAGAGTTGGAAAGAGGCCGGAGGGCCCTCGGGCACGACCCCCTGCCCAGTGCAGGACTCCCAGTTAAACCATTCCTCCCAGTTGGCTGCCTGGGTGCCTCCAGTGTGGGAGAGCCCCACACCTCCCGAGGTTCCTGGTTCCATTCTCACACCCTCTAACAGGACATTTTTCCTGGGGTCTGCCTTGAACTGGGCTTCCTGCAATCTGAGCCCGTGATTCCGTGTCCTGCGCTCTGGGATGAGGGAGAAGAGCTCCTGGCCTTCCTCTGTGTGAGAGCCCTCCAAGCGCTAGTCGACGGCTTTCCTATCCCCCCACAGACTTCTCTCCTCGAGGCTAAGCTTGCCCAGTTCTCTCCATCTCTCCTCTCCTCCAGATCCTTCCTCTGAACCCTTTCCAGCTTGTCTGCCCCTTTCTTCGACGGTGGGGCCCCGTGTCCTTTTCCCGCCCCTTCCTTGTGATTCAGCAAACTGCTCTGGCATCAGGCATGCCGTCATGTCAAAGGAGCGGTTGGCTGGGGATACTTGATACTGGAGTCCGTCTCCTTAAGAAGTGCATCTGGCAGACAAGGCAGAATGAGAGAGCGGACCATGGAGCCGTGGAAGCAGCAAGGCCGAGACCCACGGGTGGCGTTGGTGCTCCAGTCCCGCTGAAATGAATGGCCGCGCAGGCCAGGCCCGTCCCCATTCACTGCAGCGGGGCTTGTGCAGCTGAGGGATCGTGCCCCCGCTTTGAATGCAAGAACCTTCCTGCTGCAGGCTTGGGTCAGCATTATCGAGCAGGGCGAGGAACGTGCAAATAAGCGTTCCCAGCCCAGCCAGGAATAAGCCGATGCGGCGACCGCCAAGGTCTGCAGAAGGGCTGGCAAAGCGTCTGGCGTCAGCACGCCGCGTCCCCGACTAATCCACCCCCTCTTTTCACCCCCGTGCCTTCCTGGCCCGCCCAGGCTCCATTCTGCGACGCTGGAAGAGGAGTTGGTTCGTTCTGTGGGTGGACGGCAGCCTCGTGTACTACCACGACGACTCCGGCCGCGACGTGGACGGCCGGATCAACGTCAAATTCAACTGCAGGGATGTCCGGACCGGGCGGGAGTGTCGCGGTGAGTGCGCGCACATGGCTCGGGCAGCTTGGAGCGCTGGGACATGCTGTGAGCTCGTCATGGCGGTCCCCGTAGACGTGCCTAGGAGGAGTGCAGAGCCGGGCAGCAAGGCTGTTCACACATGCCGCTGGGGGTTAATACGCCTGCCAAATTGCACAACTTTTGCAAGACGAGTCACGCAAGCCAAACCTGCAGCCTTCAGACAGGCCACGGTTTGTGGAAGGGTTGTTCGCCACACCAATAACCCACCCTGGCTGGGTTCAGATGACACCACAAACAGTCGCGCAGCTTGCATGTGCAGGCTGGCACCATGGGTGACCGGATCCTGGGGGCTGCCTGTTCCCATGTGAACCAGGCGAGCGGGTTGGCCCACGCAGGAAAAACGATTCCCTCTTTTTCCGAAGCAGATCTCTTCTAAAGGAAGTGGGCCTTGTATTGGCCAGGCAAGCCCCAGAAGACTTTTGCTGAAACTGGAAACAGGAAACTGTGGGTGGGAGAATTAATTGCCCCAGGTTGCAGCTTCCGTGAGGGGGAAAGCAAAGTTCAGAGGGAATGGGGACGTCTCAGTGGGCTGGCAGGTGATGATCAAGACCCTGCTGATCAAGAAATGCTTATGCAGTAGCCGTGTGTGTGTGTGTGTGTGAGAGAGAGAGAGAGAGCGAGCGAGCGAGCGAACGAGCAATCTTGAACAGCCTTGTTCAAACATATCTTTTGACATGGGGTTAAATCATGATGTCGGGGCAATCCACGGTTTCTTTTGGGAAATCTCAGCTTTTTCTTAAAGTAAATTCTTAAGCTGCATCTTACGTAAGGCTGTGAAGATCGGTTGCAGGACGGGGCTGAATGGAACCTGGCCAATCCAGTTCTTGCTAGTCCTCCGGCCCAGAGGACCGGAAGCTGAGCAAGGCACCTCCTCAACTAGGAAAGCTCCCTGCTGCAGATGTTCCAGCTCCTGACTCTTCAGGAATTTCGACGGGATTATGGAAGTGGGGATGGGGACGGGGACGGGGTCCACCCTCTCTCTTTGCCTGATCTTCCTTTTGTGCAATGAATTGTGTGGGTGGGAGAACGCCTGATTAGGGCTTGTATTCCAGAGCCCTCCAGCTTTGCTCACCTGGCATGAGGACTAGGAGATTGGTGTGGCTCTCCCAGGTACCCAGCGGGCACTCTTGTCATCTGGGATGCTGCCACCTCTTGGTTAGAAGACTGGACCAATCGGAGTTTGCAAGGAGAGGTTTCTCACTCTGCCCCATCTGCCCTCTGTCCCGGACTGGCCCGTCGTATCAGTTGCTGGCCAGCTAGTTGCCGCCGTGTTTTTCCTGAGGATGCCGGATTGGGAAGAGGGGGTTTTGTGGCTGGTAGGGTTGGGAATGAAAGAGGCTGCTGTCCTTGGCGCATGTTTCAAGGCTGGGGAGGCGCCGACTCCTCAGAGGGGGAGGCCCCCGGGAAGCAGGGCCTCCAGAAGTTGAGATGGAAGAGGCAGGAGGGGAGGGCTCACCTCAAAGCGTCCCTCCCCAGGTATTCAGGACGCCCCTGAGAATAGCCCCAGGCAGCTATTCCCCTGCCGGAGGCGTCCCAGGACCCAGACGACCCTTGACCTCATGACGCGGCATCGGGGCAGAAGGGCCAGCCCACCAGAGGTAGTTTCTAGCGGGGGTTCAGCAAACTGCTCTGTGCATGCTCAGAGGCTCTTTCTTTGCTGATGATGCTTTACTGGATGCGCACTGGAGAATAAGGGGCGTTTACCGAAAAATAGTCTGTGGATTTGATAGTCCGAAGGGGGGAACTTGGCTCCCGACAGGTGGAGATTCCCTGTCCCTTGCAGAGTCCCTTCCCTTCCCTTCCCTTCCCTTCCCTTCCCTTCCCTTCCCTTCCCTTCCCTTCCCTTGCAGGAAAAACCCATCAGAGAGATCGCAGAGGTCATCTAACCCAACCCCCAGCTGATGCAGGGAATAATCCATCACTCCAGGACTCGCACAAGCGCCCTGCACGAGGGCAAAGGTCAAAAATGTTCTGGTTGAGAGACAGAGAAAACTTGGTACAAAGCCTCACACCCATTGTGGCCGAGAGCAGTTTTAGGGTTCAGGGGAGCCGCTGAACTCAAGTTCTCCCCACTCCTTGTTTTCCCGTCCGCCAGTAGCAACGTCCTCCTGCTCCCTCCGTCACCCGTGCGGCTCCGATTGTCCTTCTGGTGCCCTGGTCCCTCCTGGTACCGCCAGCTGAGTCAGCCGGAGGCGTCCTCTGGCCAACAATCGATGGAAAGCAACAGTCCAAACAGAGGCCGGTTCATAAAGCACAGGGCTCGTTTCTGAGCCTTCCGGCGGCGTCCGTGCGACTCCGGGCTGTTGCGCGGCCGCCTGCCAGGCTCCGGCCGAGTCGCTGCGGGGCGAGACGCAGGGATGCCGATGCACACGGCCGGGCGCACCTGCACGCCACGGCCCGTCTCATTCTGTGCGCCTTGGCGGCATCGAGGAGGGGTGTGAAGGTGTGGAAAATGTGCGGGAGATCATGATCTGAGGCTGAATTTTGATGCAGAAATCTAGTTTATGTTTGCTAGCACTACTGCTTTAAATGTTTGAGCAGGTGCTAATGAGGGAGGGAGAGGGGGGATTCCTGAAAATCTGGCAGAAGCAGAAAGTGGTGGAGCCTCTGAACCCCTGTCTCCGACCCGGGCAGCCCCTGCATCTGCCAGAGCATCGGCCGCCCCTCCACCTCGCCACCCCACAGCCCAGCCTGGGCGAGAGGAAGGGGAACTCGGGCTGCGGCGATGACGAGCGGCTTGCTGTGCTTTCCGCTGCAGAACATGCTCGGTGGGAGCGGGCCGGGGGGCGGGGGCTTCTCAGTGGCTGCCCCAGGCCTCTGGAATATGCTTCCTGGGGAACTAGGTGGCCACCTTTCCCGTCAGGCTTCTGCAAGCGGGCCAAACCTTATTTTTCCAGCAGGCGTTTGGGAATGAGGTCGGCGAGGCTGGGAGTCCATGACTGGCCCAAAGTCGCCCCGCGAGCTTCATGGCCGGGGGGGGGGGGCTGAGCCTGGATCTGCCACGTCCGAGTTCAGCGCTCCACCTGCTGCACCTCACCGGGTTGCCCACAGTTAAGCCGCGTACTTTCGTGGCGTTGGCCTCACTTGTAGCTAATGCTTATTTCAAAGCAGGGAGTGAAATGATGCTTTTTAATTAGGGTTCTTTTCTTCCCCCCTCACTCCCACCCCCAACTTCGCTTTATAGCATCTTGCCTGAAGAAGAGGTTTGTGTGTGTGTGTGTGTGTGCGCGCGCGCGTGCATTAAATTTATATGCTGCCAAGCAGCCCAAAGAGCTCTCTAGGTTGCATACATCAGTCAGCAAAGCCAAAATACAAAACTTTAACCATTTAGAGTACTAAAATTTATTCTGTCCTTATTTATTTATTATTGTGAGCCGCCCCGAGGCTTCAGAGAATGGGGCAGCATAGAAGCCTTCTAAATAAATAAATAAATAAATAAAATCAATAGAAGTGCTAAAAGCCATCAATAAAAATATAAACAAATACTAATACTAATAATGGTACTATAATAATAATATAATAATAATATAATAATAGTACTATAATACTAATACTAATAGTATTATTAATACTAATAGTATTACTAATATTTTCACAGTGACCATTCTAAATCATGTCCAAGTGAGACAGACAACCCTTAACGATCTACTAAATCTTTTAAAAACTGATACAATCATCTCGGAAATTAGTTGCTAAAACGGGTGGAGAAAAGTTTTTGCCTGGTGCCGAAACGAGAGCAGAGTAGGTTCCAGGCGAGTTTCTCTGGGGAGCCTATTCCCAAAATAGGGGGCAACCACCGAGAAGGCCCTCCTTTTTTTTCCATCCGTCTTACCTCCTTGAGGGGCAGCTCTGTCAGAAGAGCCTCTTGCCCAGATCTTGATGGGTGGGTAGGTCTATATGGGAGAAGGTGCTTCTTAGAAGTGCACACACTTTTTGTATAAATCTTTATTTATAAATCGGACCAACCCAAATAAATCTTTGGGTTGGTCCGAACAGGAGGCAGATGGCATCCTCAAACGAGGCTACAGACTTGGGCTTACAAGAGCTGGGCAGCACAGGGCTGAACAGTCTGGAGGACTTTCAGGCACACGGTGGCCAAAACTCAGAGGTGCCTTGATGGCCGTGTCCCAGCTGTGCAACGGAGCATCATGGGCTTCGGAAATGCTCCATAGAATGGTCCCAGTTCCAGGTCAGGGAGAAATGGAGATAGTTCTAGCTTTTGGTTCCCCTTTGCGAAGTGAAAATCCACACTTATTGGTAAGTAGCCTTTGCAGTTGTAACGGTGCGGACGTGGAGTCCCGACCGATGAGTGTCCCAGCTCATTCGGAATGAAACGACCCCACTTCTTCCTCTCTCCTCCGTTCTGAGCACGCGGAACTTTAAAATGGAGCCTTCCGCTGTGGCCGCAGGATGGAGGCTCAGCACGGATCCGTGGCAGCCCCGCCAAACCAGCGCGGTCTGAGCACAAAGGGCGCCTGTCCCAAACCCGGCTAAGGTCAAGGGAGCACTGGATGAATTTATTTTCTGCATTCCAGCATTCATGTGGGTAACCGAGAATTCCTCTTGGCCACAAAATGTGCTTTTACAAATGGGCAGCAGCAAAGCGGAGAACCTACGCCTCTCACTGTATTCATTTCAAAAGCACAGGAGACTTAAGTGGGTAGTCCATAAGAATTTATGAAAAATGCAGCAAAGAAATGCCTTGTTTTGTTTTAAATTTTGGGGGTTTTTTTTCTTGTAAGTCATCCCGAGATGCTTGTAGTGGATGGCCTATAAAAGCTTTTGATTAATAAATAACTATATAATATAGAAAGAGATTGGCTCCTTGAGGCTGCTGAGAGCAACTCGGGTATCTGTTCTTGGAGGTTAGTGTCCAGCAGGGCCAAAAATGGTGAACAGAGACAACTTCTTTATGCAGCCTAGTCTGAAGAGACTGAGAGTTTGCAAGCCCCTGACGTATTTCAGTTCATTGCACGAATATCCCATCTTTTCCTTTTTTGCGAGGAATCCAAGGTGGCTTACGTTGTCCTCCTTTTATCCTCACAACAACCCTGTGAGGTAGGTTAGGCTGAGAGTCAGTGATGGACCATTGCCACCCAGGGAGCGTCAAGGCTGAGGCAAGACTAGAACCCGGATCTCCACCACCTCTGCTTTGCTCTAGTCCCCCAGCACACGTGCGTGCGCGCGTGCGTGTGTGCGCGCACACACACACACACACAATCACACACAATGTTTGCCTTGGCCGCTTCCCTTTCTGGCCCTGTTCTGGCATTCCAAGGGTTGACCTGTAGACTGCGGATGAGTCTGGGGGCAGGTGAGGCTGGCGCTCCTCACGAGGAGTCGTGTTGTTGATGGCTTTCTATGGCAAAGCAACTGCAGACCCCATGAGGAATGCTTCTGAGCGATCGATCGATCGATCGATCGATCATTTTTGCATGCCCCTCGTAAGACATGGCTCGCTGGACGGGTTTGCCTCAAGCCACCCTCCAGACAGGTTTGGCTACAACCCCCATAATCCCCAGCCAGCCGTGGGCAGCAGCCATGCGGCTGTCCTCCTCGTGGATCTTATATTCCTAAATTCTCTAAATCATGCGAGGCACGTGATTATGTGGTGTGGGCGGAGTGCTGCGGCGACTGAGAGCCAGCCTGGGCGTGGGAGTCCAGCTGGAACTGGGAAGGCCTCGGTCGGTCGGTCGGTCGGTCTGTCTGTCTGTCTGTCTTTCACTCATTTCCGTACCGCCCGCTAGCCAAAGCTTCTGAGTGGCTCTCAACTATTAATCAAATGTAAAAGACGCAGTAGGAATGCAAGCCGAGGAAAGCAGCCGTGGTGCTCCTGGGCCGCCCGGGGCAGCGCCTGCCCTCACACGTCGTCAGGTGGAGGGCGAGCGCTGCAGAGGGGCCGCCGGGCTGCCTTCAGCTCCTCGGGAGGAAACGCATGTTGCACAGTGTGATTTTGAAGATGTCCTCCCAGGCTTTTTATCTGCCAGTCAATCGCATTGTATTATACCTTTCTCTTGCAAGGAACCCGAGGCAGCTCATAATCCTCCTCCCCTTACCTTTATCCTCACAACAACCCTGTGAGGTTGGCCCAGCTGAGCCTGGCTCGGAGTCACTGGGACTGCACAAGGGGCTTCCCAGACTGGTTAGTGGCTAGGCTGGGATAGCCTTTCCCAACCTGGCGCCCTCCAGAGGCTTTGGACTGCCACTCCCATCAGCCCTGGCCAGGATGGGCAGTGGTCAGGCAGTGCAGGCTGCAGTGCAGAGCAGCTGGAGGGCGCCAGGTTGGGGAAGACCGGGCGAGGAAGGGGGGGTCTCCCAGCCCTGGGCCTCTGGTGACGGGCCTGTCGCATGTCAGTCTCTGGGAATCGGCACTCTCCGCTCGCTTGCGCTTGTTCGCCAGAGTCCGGATCCACGAGTCTTTAACTTTGGGTGGCACAGAAGATTCGTGGGGCAGCCCAGCTCTGCCCCGTGGCGAATTCGAAGTGCAGGTGCAGTCGAACTGCGCAGGTACGGGCAAAGCCGCCAGGACGAGGCTGGCGCAGCAGATCCGCCTGGCCGTTCACCACGTGGTCAGTGCGGGGAAGGGCTGCCCCTGGGACCCCCCCCCCCCCCCCCGGATGTGGAAGATTCCCCAAGCGCTCCCGCTCACCTGCAGGGCTCCCGTTTCAGCAGCAGCACAGCTAGGCTGACTTTTGACATGCAGCTGTGATGTGCCCCAAATTTCTTTTCCCCACTGCTTGGTGCTGCTTGCCTCGGTCTTTCCAAGCGTGGCCCTTCGGCCCTTCAGCCTTTGGGGACCGCTTCTGCCCCTGGTAGCTTGAGCCTCAAAATGGCCGTTTCCTGGATTACAGTTTTCCATTTTAGAGTCTAACCTTGAGGACTAGAGGCAGAATTTCTGAGTGAGTTTGAAGAGAATTCGGATCTGCTGGGGCCCAGCTGTGCCTGGCAGCATCTCCACTGCTCTACCTATCTGAACCCTTCCCCGAATCCAAGCAGATGTGTTGGAGAGCAACTGCACCCACCGTGCTGGCTAGGGATGATGGGAAGTGCAGTCCAGCACATCTGGGGGCCACCAGGCAGGTGAACGCTAATCTCTGCCTGTCTGTTTCAAAAGCGGATGTCCGAGCAGTGCTCACGTGTTGGTCCCTTCTCTGCCCTGCTGGTCGTTTCTAAAATTCACCCCCTCCGTGGTTCCTCCGGGATCCGTGCCAGGTCACATGCTGTTGTTCTGTTGTGGCTGACGCAGGTGCCGCTGCGTCAGCAACTTCTTCCCGGGGGTCCAATTAGTTCAGTGCTCGCTTGGTTCGCAGCAGCGGCTGCAGCTGGCCTGAAATGCGGCGGCATTTCGCTACCTTTCCAGCTCTGGGTCGGTTCTTGCATCGCCCCAGGCTTTTTCCGGCCGGGGCCCGTGTGGCGGCCAAACCTTTTGCGTCTTGAGCATGGAAGTGTCCCTGTTGCCCCATGGGAGATGAAGTGTGAAAGTACTTTTGTGCCAAGAATTTGGGCATTCCTGTTTTCATTGGTCAGAACCAAGTTTCTAGACCTCAGCATTCTGAAAGCATTGCGGGGTGCATGCTCTCTGCAGCCGTGAACCTTGCCTGCAGCTCTCACATTTCCAAATTCCATGTAGTGAGTGTCTTCGGCGAATGGGGCGGCATAGAAGTTCAATCAATCAATCAATAAAATAAAATAAAATAAAATAAAATAAAATAAAATAAAATAAAATAAAAGGGACAGGCAGGGTAACAAGCCCTTGATGGATCCAGCACTGACAGCATCCCAGGCAAACCCTGCCTGACCAAAAGTCCTCCCAACCAGATGTCTCCATCCAGATTTTCAGCACCCTCCGATTGATCCCGTCCCATTTATTTTTGGTCCCAGGGAGACATTTCGCTGGCCACTGGTCCCTTGCGGCTCTTTCCAGAGGTGGGAACGTGAAGCCAGCTTGCCAAAGGAGCTTTGTCCCCTTCGCTATTTCACAGAATCAGAGAAGAGTCGAGTCGGAAGGGGCCAAGGAGTCCCTGGGGTCCAACCCCCGGCTGCTGCGGGGCACCAGTTTAAAGCGTGTGGGGCTCCCAGCCTCCAGCTGGAATAAGCGCTTTCGGCATCTCTCCTCCACGCGTCGGGTGTTCCCCGGGCATGGTGCTTCACAGGGCGCCGAACGCCTGGCTCGCCGCTCGCTTCTGAAAGGAGCTGCGGAGCCGTTTGCACAAATCCCTTCTTAGAGGTTTATACCTTGGACTCGGGTCTGTGTGCCACTCATCCTCTCTGGCCGGGAAATCCAAGCTGTGCTGTGAGAAAGCGGCCTTTGCAGTCCGTGCGGTTATGGGAAGCGACGCGAGCGGTGCCTATTATTTATTTATTTATTTATTTAGAATATTTAGAATTTATTTAGACTATTTCTATGCCATCCGGTCACGAAGGCCTCGGCGAAGGCCACGGGCTGTTGCCCGTGTCCCTCCGCCTGTTCTTGTCTTGTCTTTTTCTGCCCAATCCTGTGGCGCTTTCTGGGTTAGACGGAGGGGGGTCCTCCCAGCCCCATAGGTGGCATGTGTCCCTGGGAGGGGGCCTGCTGCAGAAGGCTGCCGCCGCTCCCCTGTTTCCCAGTTTGGGGGTTCTCAGGAACCCCACTCGGCAGGAAAGCAGTTCCCTTTTTTGCTAACCACAACAGGCCTCGGCAACTTCTTCCTTCTCTTTTCTCCTCCTATATTCTTTATTTACTTATTTTATACTGTTAATTTTAATTTTATATTATTGTATCTCAGTGTATTTTTTGTATTTTTGTATTTAGTGGTAATTTATTATGTTCTATTGTATTTCAATGTATCTTAGTGTGTTGTAAGCCGCCCTGAGGCTTCGGCAAGGGGCGGCATAGAAATGTTATAATAATAACAACAACAACAACAACAACAACAACCGCCAGACTGGAATCTGAGACACCAGCAGGCATTACTGGCACACTTCCAGGTTCAGCTTCTCGGCCATGAGTGCTAGAAACTTGCTTATTCGAAACACTGCAGCAGGGAGCGTCCTTAGACCAGGCCAGCTTATCAGCCTGCCTAGAGCATCACGGTCTGCTCTGACTGGCAGGGCCCCCCGGAGCAACAGGGGCTGCCGCGCCGCTCGGGCGCCTTCCAACGGGGTGCCAAAGGCTGCAAGGGCAACCCAGCCGCTCTCTGACCCTCTGCGCGCGCCTCTGTTTCCCCTTCTCTTCCAGACATTCAGCCTCCGGAAGGGAAAACCCGCGAGTGCCTGATGTGCATCGTGCAGCGGGACGGGGGCAAAACCACGCTGTGTGCGGAGAGCGAAGACGACGCTGTGTAAGTTGCTGCGAGGTCCCGCTCGCGCTCGGCAGGTCCCCGCCGTGCCCCGAAGCTCCGGGTAACGCGTCACGCCTTTCAGGGCATAGCACGAAGCCCATTTTGCAGAAGGACGACTGAGGCTAAAGCCACGGGCGAAGCGGAGCCCTTTCCCCTTCTCCTCTCTGCCCTTGGCTTCCTTGGTTGTCCTCGGGGCCTTGCTGGCTCTCGAAGCGTCGCCCGGGCCCTGGGAGGGCTTCCCCACGGACCAGGGGTCCTCCAGGTGTCTTGGGCTGCAGCCGCTGGCTTCCGGGTGCTTCTGCCCCCGTCCTCAGGCCACCATCTTAAAACGGGGGCTGCCCGGGCCCTGACCCTTGACCTTCTCCCCTCCTCCCCATGGCACAAAGGAGGGGCAGCTTTGGGGCCCACCAAAGGAGACAGAAGAGCCGGTGGGTAGTGGGGGAACGGGACTGGAAAGGAGGCTGCATCAGCCTTACAGCTTGGCACCCTTCCGTTGTGTTGGAGGTGCTGGCTGGGGATGATGGGAGGCGTAGTCCAAGCCATCTAGAGGGTGCCTGGCTGGGGTGCGGCCATTTTCAGAGTGTCTCCCCTCACATCTTTTAGTCTGCCTCTAATCCACTTGGCCAAAGGTTTTGTTGGCTCTTGTGCGGCTTTCCCTCGCTGCCGGTGCTCTGAGTCGGGTGCCCCGGGGAGCTGCCGTTGGGCCCCAAGCTCCGTCCTTCAGGGACGTGGTAACTCCTGGAAAATTTCCACCTACCTGTGTTGGGGCTTTGTGTTCGCAAGCTGGTGTTTTGGGACATTTTCCCACCCTTGGCAACGGCCCGATCTGAAATAGTCCGCCTGGAAGATTATTTACTGGTTCCCTTTCTGTACGCCGTTCTTCCACCGTGGAAGTCAAGGTGGTGACGTGGCATGCCTTTCCCAGGTGGTCTCCCCGCCGAGCCTTGACCAGGGCTGGACCTGCTTAGCTTCCCCAGCTGGGCCACCTCCGCCTTCAAACTGGTGCATCAGGTGCAGGGGCAGGCAGTGCTCTCCAGACGCAGATAACCCTGGATGGCGGCGTGAGCGCAGCTGCTAACAGTGGCTGGGGTACCGGGTGGGGGCGTGGCGGCAAGAAACGGGCCAGGCACGGTGGTGCCGTGACAAATGTCGCCATGCAGACCCTCATCCCTGCAGCGACACCCCCAAGGAACACCCCCAAATCCAAGCAGGTGTGCCAGGCCCGGTCAGCAATCCCATTCTGGCAGCTTTCCGCTCCACCCAGAGCAGACCTTTGGTCAAGCTGCCGCATCTTGGTTGTCCAACCCGGACCCCGAGGCTTGGCGTTGCGTCAAAAGCGTCACAATATCTGGTTGATTTCCTACACACACACACACACACACACACACACACACTTATTTATTTATTATTTATAAATGAATATAAATAAAATTTATTCATTTATATAAATAATTTATATATTTTATTTATTTATATATTTTATTCATTTATATAAATAATTTATATATTTTATTTATTTTATGTATAGTTTTATATATATATATATATATATATATATATATAACTATTTATTTATTTATTTATTTATTTATTTATTTATTTATTTATTTATTTATTTATTTATTTATTTATTTATTTATGGGACTTCTATGCTGCCCCATTTGCCGAAGCCTTGGGGCAGCTCACAAACCATAAATAAATAGAATTCAATTAAACAATATAAATTAGCAATATAAATTAAGTCACCCTGGCCAAAGAATAAAATGAATAAATAGTATTAACAATTACGTTTGAATAAAAAGGTCTTCGCCTGGCGCTGAAAAACAAATAACGACGGCACCAGGCGGGCCTCTCTGGGGAGCGCATTCCATAGATGGGGCGCCACCACAGAGAAGGCCCTCCTCCGAGTACCTATCCTCCTAATTTCCTTCACGGAGGGTTCCCGGAGAAGGGCCTCTCCCGCAGATCTCAAGGGGCGGGTGGGCGTATATGGACGCAAGCGCTCCTTCAGGTAACCAGCCGGAAGTCTTGCAGCCACGCTCAGAGGGAAAAGAGCAACCGGAGGGGGTGGCAGATCCAGTCCTCATCCCCGCTAAGCGGGAAGTCTTGTGGCTTCCACCCCGCAAGCCCCGGTTCCACTACACCACGCCAGCCCTGTGCATGGACTGCCCTTCCGGTCTAAGCAGTGGGCAACTGAAGAAGGTTCTCTGGCCAGGCGTGTCCTGGGAATGCCCAGCCTGCTCCGCTGCTGGAATTCGGAGCTCAGGAGGAACCTGAGCTTTTTCTGCCCAAAGTGGCTGATCCGCTGCGTGGGGCAGAGCCCACAGGCGTCGTGGCACCCCAGCACCCGCGCCCCCCAGCAGCCGGGCCTGCACGGCGAGCACAAACCCAAGTCTCCATCACCCAGCCCTTCCCGCCCTGAGTCCCCAGTGTGGACAGAGCCGGAGCAGATCCGTGGATGACCGGGGGATTCCCAGGATCCCTTGAGCAGGGCTGCCTGCAGCGAGCGGCTTTGGAGGAATTTGTGGTGTGGGGCTGCCCGGCCCTCCCTCCCGGTCCCAGCGCTAGGCCAAGCCGCAGGTCCAAGCCTCTTTCCGTCCCAAGTGTGGAATTCTGTGCTGGAGACGCTTCCGGGGCCACGATCCCATGGTGGGCACGAGGAGCAGGAGGAGCGGAAGGGGCAGCCCCCAAATACCGGCGCCACTAGCCTCTCTCAAGCCTCTTCTTGGAGAGCATTTCAGCCTTTTGGAATGGGAGAAAGACTCCGCTCAAGAGCTGCAAAGCCACCCAGGAATCAGCAGATGGAGGAAAGGTTGGGGTGGCGAGGGGGCTTGGCCACCTGGGGACCCCCGGAGGCCTGGATCCAGTGCCTGGGTCTGAGCTTCACCCAGCCCAGTGCTTGCAAGGCGGGGCCAGTGGGACTGGGAACGAAGATGGGCCAGTCCCCCTCAGCCCACGCCAGACCGGACTGGTCTGGTCTCCAAGCGCTTGAGGTCTCTAGCTCTAGTTAGGAGGAGGCACCTGTTCGAGAGAAACTCACGGTCTGCAAGCAGCCAGGTGAGCTGACTGAATGGTGTGCAGCAGCCGTGAAGGCTGGGGGTGATGGGAGTTGAAGTCCAGCACATCGGGAGGGTTGCTGCACCACAGGACCAGATGTGGCAGAGCTTGGGAGGGTTTCTGACGTCGTCTCTAAGCCGCGACCGAAGGCGGCAGGTCTGTTCTCGGCTGCGCCAGCCAAGCAGCTCAGACAGATAATCAAAGCTCACTCGATCGCGTCAAGCGGCACAGAGGTCGCCGTGGGAACGGCACACTTGGCTAAGCCGGTTGCCGTGACACCTGTTGGTGCCTCGGCGATCCCCCCCCCCGCCCCCCGGAATCCTATTAGGGAAATCCGTGATCGGGCACTGCATCTTCCGGGACGCTTCGTTCACGCCTGCTGGGCAGGCCGTCCGGGTGTGGAGAAGCTTCGGTGGCGCACGCCGGAAGGGCGCGCTTGTCATCCGCGGTGTCGCAAAACTCTGCCCGCCCCCCACCCCCGGCGTTCCCATACTGGCCCCGTTTGCCACGTCCTCCAGACGTTCCCCCGGGCTTGAGCCGAGCAGCGCCTTCCCTTCCTTCTCCTGCACGCAGCTTTGGAGGGGCACCGGCGGCCCCCGGGCGGCTGCGGGGCCACGTGGCAATGCCCGTCCTTGGGCAGGGGGGGCATCGGGAAGTTTGCCACTCGCCTCCTGCCCCCGGCCGCCTGCATGGCCCAGAAGGGGGGGACGGGGGGAGGGAGGGCTGGAGATGCCCCGGCTGGCTGGCTTCCGGCTCGGCGTCTCTCCAGCTCACCCGTGGGAGGCAGGAGGAGTGGCAGCAGTCGGTGGCCGTGGCGGGGAGAGGGTCCACTTGCCAACGAGGGCCTCCCGGGTGGTGCCCTGCCCAAAGAGACCACGCAGCCAGGAGCCAGGGCCGGACACGGGGAGGTTTGCACACCCCAGAGGCTTAAATTCCAGCTTGGCATCTTTCATCTCTCCTCCTGAGCTTCCTCTGGTCCTCGGTCCCAGAGGCTTTATGCTGCGTGGAAGTGTCGCTTCCGGAAGCCGTGTGTCAAGACTCATCCGTCGCTCCCAAGAAACCTCCCTGCCTGCCTCTCCCTTCCATCTGGATGGAAGGGCACAGCATGCCCTTTACTCCTCCCAACCCAGACTGGACTTCATCTCCTATCATCCCCAAACAGCACGGTCTCTGTGAGCTCAGTTCCCTCCTGCTCAGCTCCTGCTCCGCCACCCGGGCTTCTGCCAGCCATTGCCCATGGCCGCTTGGGCCTTTCCTTGCTTTCCCCAAAAGAAACTTCCAGAAACGTGTTTGCAGAGCAAACAGATATTCCCAGAGTTCCCGAATCGGATCTCAGTACCAAAATTCCCAGGTTGCTTCTCGCGACAGTGAAATATAAGTAGCTTGTCTTAGAGGCACTTCTGCAGGCTGCGGAGGAAAACGAGCCCAAATGGAGAGCCGCCGCTGGCCCAGCACCCCCTTGGCCACGTCCCTGCGAATTTGCCCGCTCAGCACCCTCCTCGTCAGCCCCGTGGGCCACGCTGCTGCCGCTGCAGTTCTGGAGCGGAGACTTCGCTTTGTCCTGCCACTGGGCCCGGGACCAAACGGACGGCCGCCCCACACTCGCTGGGGCGGGACTCACAAAGGGACCTTGTTCCTTCCACCCGCGCTGATGAAAAGGCCAAGCTGCCCGCCAGAGAAGAGCCGTTCTGTTCAGGAGCATCCGCACACCCAAGCCAGGACCCTCCAGCTGGGCCGGACTACACCTCCCATCATTCGCAGCCAGCATGGCCTCTGGCTGTGATAGTCTGGCACGAGTTTGGCAAAGGCTGGACGAGGGGGCCTCTGAGGTGCCTTGTGATGCTCTCACCCAGTACGGCCTGATGAACCCTGCCCTGCCTGGCCTTCGCTGTCCAAGGGCCACACAGTGAAATTGAGCTCTTTCCTTTTCTGCTTCTTGAATATCTCCAGGGAAGCACCACGGATATCTCTGGGGAACTGCGCACTCTGGGGACGCGGATGCTGGGGAATCTGGTTTCAGGCATTCACTGTGGGGCTAGGAACCTACCCCTGCGGAAATTGGATCCTGCCATGCAGAGATGTCAGGGCTACCTTCGTTGACCTCCACACATAACACTCCCCAGGAACTGCAATATATTTTGCGATGTATAGAATATATAGGAATGCAGGGTATATATTTATGCATTGCAACAGACTCACTCAAATTTCATGTAAGGAAACTAGCCTTATGCTTTTTATTTTGGCTTATGGCTTTGTTTTGATTTTTGAAACTCATGCTAGAATATCAAATAGAAAAATCCAGATTCAAACCCAGGAGTAGAACTGCAGGGGAAGCACATTTTTTCCTCCATTTGCTGATGGGAGAGGATTTTGGGGTGGGAGGGTTTGGAAAGGTCTCTCTCTGTTGGCTCCATTTGCTCAACTGCCGCCGCCTCTGTTTTGTTCCCAGTGCTTGGAAGATGGCGATCCTGGAGGCAAAGGCAACCCAGGTGAGTCCTGCTGGCTTCCGTGGTGCTGATCTCAGTGTGGACTCCTCCAACCCCTGGACATGGTCCTTATGACCTAAGCTTCTAGTCCTCTCTGTGGTCAAGGCAATAGGCGAACCAGAGAGCGGTGCAAAACTTCCCACGCTTCAGGGAGAGTTCAGTGAGCTGCAAAGGAGATGCAAAGCAAACGCCTTGGACAAGGACAGCTTCAGAGCCACAGGTTAAGAGTGCAGGACGGAGACTCAGGAGATCTGGGTTCTAGTCTCTGCTCAGCTAGGGAGCAAGCTGGTGACAGACTCTCTGCCCAGCCTAGCGCACCAGCTGCCTTGAGTTCCTGGGAAGGAAAAAGGAAGAATACGAATATAATGAATGACCGAATGACTCACACACTCACTCAGTCATACTAGATCCAGGGTTTACCATTCCTTATTCAGGGGTTTGGTAGGGAAATGGCAGGCCTGGTCGAAATTGCAGGCAGAAATAACAGGAAGGATCCTCTTTGGCTGTCCAGAAGGAAAGGTAAGAGGAAGGGAGAGGGCCGTGCACAGCACCAAGCCTTTCCCACTGGGTTCAGCATCAGGTGTGCACAGAAGGGAGGCGGACAGGCCGCCGACCCAGGCGGTAGGCAGGAGGGAGATCTGCAGGGGCTTCAGAGTTCAGTGCCTGGACGCCTCTGCCAGCGGCTCCGGCTCGCTGGGCAGTGGATGCCCCAAGCACCTGGAAAGAGACATCCTGCCTCCCGTGAGGAAGGTTTTCTGTCTCCATCGTTCACCTGCAAAGGGTAATGCTGAATCCAGCGGGAAGGGGCACTGCTGTGGCAGTTCGCAGACCCCGATGGCATTCAGGGTGGCACTTCGCGGAGGCGGAGGGCCAGCCCCGTTTGTCTGCCCTTGCCTTCTGCCCATGCAAAGAGGGTGCTTGGTGCCGTGTTGTTTCCGCCTGCAGAGCTGGACCGGGCCGCTCCTCGCCTGTCTGCCTGGTGTGCGCAGAGGTGTCCCGCACGGGCGAGGCCGCCCATGGCTCTAAAATGTGCTCTAAGCAGATGCAAGCCGCCCCACCCCGCCTCCACTGATGCAAAAGATGGAGTTGCTCTCCCGGCTCCCGGGAATCCTTGTTATTCCTGCTCTGTCCTCCAAAAGCCCCACCTCCTGATGGAACATTAAAATCTACCGGTGAGGAAGCAGGGTTGCGGCTCGCGGACGGGGCCATGTGCGCCGTTCAGGGCACCCCGGCTTGAGTAGCCAAGCCGTGGGGCGCAGAGGCAGGGCCTGCGGGGGCTCACCCCACTTCTTCATGAGCCGGGCCAGCGGCTTTCCCTGCCAGTCCCCTCCAAACCACCCCCCTGCTCTTAGCTGGAAGCCTCACGGTCCTGGGCCGAATGAGCTTTCCCAGCTACAATATTCTTGTTTCTTGTTTCATTTTGTTGTCGTTCTCTGCTGCTTTTTCCCGCAAGGGAACTAAGTCGACATGCACACGCTGGCTGGGAAATAAGGGGGTCCTGAGAAGTGTGGGCCTTTTCTGGCTAAACACGCATAGGATCCCACTCTTGAAGGCAAGCACATTCAGGATGAGATAAGCCAGTCCTGCCTCAGTCCTTCCGAAGTGAGATTTTCAGTGGAGCAAATTTGCCCCAGGCGTGAGAGTGAGTTAATTAGGGCTGAGTGTGTGGGAGGGGAGGGGCCCTGCCTAAAGAGCCCCTTTCTGGGAACCCAGGGCTCCAGGACCTCGGCTGCAAGGGGCGCATTCGGGCGAAGTCTCCTGCATCCTCCATGCAGCCGGCAATGGGGTGGGGGGGGGTCACACTTGCTGTGCACGCCGGGTTTCGTCAGGAACCAGTTGGCGCCTCTCCCCATCGCTGCTCTCGACACCGACTCTACTCTGTTTTGAACGGAGCCCCTTTCCATTTCCTGGCCTGCCTAGTTACAGATCTATAAATGCAATCAGGCCAGCGATCGATGGATTGCTTCCACGTCTCCGGCGTGCTGCTTCAGGCCCTTGAGACTGACAAAAAGCCAGTGTGTTTCGGGGCCAAAGCCCGGCTGTCTCGCACCAGAACGGGAAATTCGGCGGCCCTCTATTTTCGGCTCCGCTTCCCATCAAAAGCACGTGCTTTTCTTGTCTTCCGGCTCTGCAAGGTCCTTCCCTCTCTCTCTGACTTACCTTCTGGGCAGCCGTGCTTGTATCTTGTACGCGGTTCCCCCATCCCTGCAACTCACTTGGGTTCTCGATTACTAGCCATTGATTTGTCAAAAGGCGGCAATGTCAGGGTGTCGGGCTGCTGGTGGGGATGGTGGAAATCCACTCCCTTCTTTCTGTGCTGTGAAGGCAGCATGGCATAGTGGTTAGAGTGCTGGACAGGACACCTCATCATTTCTGCCCATTCTAAGCACATTGCAACTATCAGAATATACCAGGACCCCTCATTTTTGGAACCCTAACCCTACCCTGCTGCACAGCCCTAATTGTAATATAGGGCTAAACAAGCTGCTACGATGGTGGCCCGATTGCAGGGGATGATGGGGTATGAGGCGAGTCTGAGGGAGCTGGGTCTCTTCAGCCGGGAGTGGAGGGGACTCAGAGGGGACCCGTTAGTGATGTGCAGGTATGTGAGGGGGCGTCACACAGAGGTGGGGAGAGACCTGTTCTCCCCTGCAGAGGAAGACAGAATGCGCTCCAACAGAGCAAAGCTCAGGGAGCCAAGGTCCAATTTGGATGCCAGGAAGCACTTCCTGACAGTCAGGACCCCGAGGGGGTGGAATGGGCTTCCACGGGAGGTGGTTGAAGCCCCATCGGTGTGGGTGTTCAAGGACAGGCTGGACGTCCACATGGTGGGCATGTCGTGAGCGGAGCTGGGGGTCAGACTAGATGGCCCGGGAGACCCCTTCTGACTTGCTCTGTTCCTGTGGCGAAACCTATGAAAGGAGAAGCATTGGCCACGTGGCACTGCCACGGGGGAAGTGAATCGCGCCACCTGTGCGTGAGCAGGTGGATGTGGGGATTGGCCCTGATCCCCCCAGCCTAGGACTGTAAGCGCTTGCCGCTGGCGCACGGTCACAGCCTGTCTTGCCCTTCCAGGTTCACCTGTACGACCCTTACGATGACTATTACCAGGCGGTGCCCCTGGACTCGCACCAGGCGATGTACGTCAGCTCTGAGTACTATGGCAACCTGTATGGAGGTAAATGCCCTTTGCCGCGATGGGGGGGGGGGGGCCCGCGCGAGGGGGTGGGGGGATGCATGCACCCTTGGGGTGCAGTCCTGCAACTCCCACGCTGGCTGGGGGACGATGGGCATTGTGGGACACTCTCCTGTCCGCCCAGGCCTTGAGGGGCACCCTCGCACGGCGAGCTTTCCCTGTGGAACCGTCCACAGCCCCCGGGATACATTACCCGCCCGAAAGGACTTGCTGCCTCCATGCAAGATCCAAGTCGAGGTCACCTCACCCTGCCCGGCATTTTCCAGAGCCATTAACCAGGCGCACCTAAGCATAATAGCACTGGGTCAGAAAATGCAAAAGGAGCGAGAAGTCGGGCTCCTGGGAAGAACGGTTGCGGCGGCGGGGACTGTTTCGCTTAGGAAAAGGGCGAGGAAGGGAAGCCGGGTGGAGGGCTCAGAATTCCCCCTGTTGTGATGACGGAGCAGTTTCCCCCTTTCCCCTAATACGAGACCCCAAAGGGGTCGCCTGTGGAGCGGGTGGGTGGGAGACTCAGGGCAGATCAGAGGAAGACCTTCTTCACAGAGCGGCTCATTTACTTCCACAAGACGCCATGATGTCCCCTAAACTGGATGGCATTAACATTCGTGGATCAGGAGGAGGCGGAGGCCATCGATGGTTGCTAGTCCTCATGGCTTCGTGCGAGGTCCAGTATCAGAGAGAGTGTGCCACGCACACGGCGGCCGGGGAGCATGGGCGGGAGAGTGGCTCCTGCCCGTGGGTTTCCTGTAAGTGGCTGAACAGGTTGCTGGACTAGTGAACGCACTGATGTGATCTGTCCTGGCCCTGTATCTTCGCGGGCTGGACTGGAAGATCTCCAGGTAGCCCTTCAGCTCTGCAGGTCTCAGCCCACGGACGGGTCATGGAAGCGCTGGGTTTCCTCTTTTGCTTCGCCTCAGCATCATGATGGCTGCCAGAGGTTTCCCGTGGCTATCATGGCCACTGGATCTCTCCGTGATAACCTCTCCTTAACTCGCTTAATCCCCTCTTTGAAGCCGTCCGTGCCAATGGGCATCACCCAACAAGCCCTTCTGCATTCTGCAAAGAGCTACCGCAACGTCCTGGAGCCGGCTGGAGCTGGGGGTCAGACTAGATGGCCCGAGAGAGCCCTCTGACTCGCTCTGTTTCTATGTCCTTTTGGTAGAAGTTGCAATTTTCCCAGATGTTGCGTGAAGCTGACCTTTCCGTGTAAGCCATATGGGAAAGTTCTGCCTGCCTGGAGGGGCCAGAGGGTCGTGCCCTGTCCTGAGCAGTGGGAACCCAGTAAACCTCTGATCATCCTCCACAAACTTCCAGACAAAAGGATGTCTCGCAATTGTGGCTTTACTGCCACTGGAAAGGACTCCTCTCCGCCCCGTGGCATTTGAACGTGGCACTCTGGTGAAGGAGGCAGGCCTCTGTGCCTGCCCAGCAGGCCCAGAGGCGAGGAGGCCCTGAACACCCTTCCATAAACAGATGAGCTGGAAGGCAGGACCCAAAACCGACGATTCGGGATTCGAGGAGCAACCTGAGTCTAGGGCGACACCTGCTGGTGAATTTCAGCAGAAGCACGGAGGAGAGGCAAGAGCCATGCAGGTGCAGAGCGGCCCAGCCGTCAGACGACGGCGTTGCGCTCGTCTCCCTTGAGCTGCTTGAGTTCTGCAGAACTTTTCTGACTGCTTCCCCTGGGAAGGGTTCTGGTAAACACCACATTTGCTCGCTAATCGCTGCTCTCACTGGGGAGTTCTGGATTGTGCTGCTGGCTCCAGCGGGGAGGAAACACCACGGCTTTCTCATGCTGGCCCGTGGCTCTGTGGCTCAGCCGCAGCTTGGCTGCCTGGTTGCCTGCGTCTCCGGCCTTCTGCCCTCACGGAGAGGCAGGCCTGCTTGCGGACCCAGTTGTGCTCCGATTCCGTTTCGGGGCTTCCCTGCAAGCCCTCCGTTGCAGCACTTGAAACAAGGATCTGGCCTAAACGAGCTCCAGGCTCCAAGGAATCAGGGTCCATCTAGTGCAGTTTCACGGCCACCGAGCAGCCAGCCAGCTGCCCACATGCGCCGGAGACATGAGAGCAACAGCCCCTCCCATGGGGCTATTTGGCTGTTCTACCTCTGATTCCGACGGCAGCACGGAACCATCCAGGCGCCTGTCCGTCGTTGTCGTGCAACCTGTCGAATCCGTCCGAGGTGGTGCCACCTCATCTTGTGGAACGGAACGCCATGGCTCAGTGAGGGGAGCCCCTCCTCGCACCTGTCCTGAATTTCCCACCACCCATTTCATGGGATGCTTCCTTTCGGTTCTAGCATTATGTGAGGGGGAATAAAACTGCCCCCTCCCCATCAAAATAAGCACACCGGGGTGGGGGAGGGCTGTTGCTTTCCCTGTGAGACAGGGCAGCACGCGCTCCTTTGCACCAGAGAGTCAATGAGGCGTCAGGGCTTTGCTGCATTTTTTGCAAACTGCCCGGGGATCTTTGGCTACGGGGCAGCATAGCCACATGCTAATATTTAAATAAATAAACGATACCTATGAGGTGTAAGAAGAACTCCGCTCCCGCACCACGTCACCCTGCAAAGCAGCCTTCGCCTCTCTCGGCACGGGGTGGCTGGGGGACGTGGCGGGGACGGTTTCGCCGGCCAGCGGGGCTGCTGCCTGTGTCACTCGCCGCGTTTTTCTGCCTCTCTCCCACAGCCCCCGGCATGACCCACGTCGTCATCCGCGAGGACCCGTACCGCGTGTCTGGGGACCAGATGGCGCTGGGCCTGCTGGCGGGGGCGGCCAGCGGGGCGGCCCTGGGATCGCTCATGTGGATGCCCTGCTGGTTCTAAGCCCTGCTCTCCTGCGACGTCCAGCCAAGCCCGGTTGCCCGGCCGAGGAGACGCGTCGCTTCCTGGTGGGCAGCGGGGGAGGCCCCGCCGGCCCCGTTGACCAGGCTGGGCGGGAGGGAGGGGGGCTGCCGGGAGGGCTCTGAGCGACTCGCTGTCGATCGGGGACGGTTGCTGACTCCTCGCTGCTTAACCGTATCCACACCAATGCCATGTTCCCCCCACCCCACTGAGTCAGGCCAGCAGCATTTCCGAGCCGTAGCAGCTGGGGCCCTGGCCGGCCGGGCTGCGGCTGATCGGACGCGACAGGCCGCACGCTCCGCCCGAGCCGCCGCTTGGCATCTGCCCCCGCCTCCTGCCAACCCCAGTGTGGGGTGGAAGCAGAGCAGGAGGAAGCCCACCCGCCTCAGGTCCACCCACCCCCCTTGTAGATTCTTGTAAGGGTCCCTTTGGGGCCCCCACACAGTCTGGCGGGGTCAGCCTGTGGATTCACAGTGCAACGGGGTGAGTGGCCGGTGTAATTTGGTTTGCGTGGGTCCCGAGAACAGCTTCGTCGTCTGCCCCCGGGGAACACGGCCTGAGCATCCGCGATCAGCCTTGCTTGAGGGAGACCCCGGCTGGCCCAAGCGTCTCCCCTTCAGCCCTGTCCTTGCCCCCCTGTCCGCCCTCCAGAAGCAGCTCTGAGGGGCGGAAGGCGGGGGAAGGATCAGGCCAGTCCACGGTTGCCGGCTCCTGGCTTCTGGTTTGGTCTGGCCAAGCCCATTCACCTCCTGCAGAACTTCCGGTTGCGCGCTCGTAGCCATCGGTGGCACTAACAAGTTACACTCTGCTGTAATGTTGCTGTAACATAACTTTGGCGTTCTATAGCGCGGTGCAGAACCTCAGACGGGAGCTTGGGGGGCTTTTCTGCCCCATCCTAAACGCATCTCCTCAGGCTTAGCAGTAGGAAGAGCTTGCAGCTGGTACTTTTCGACTCTCTTGACGCCACCCCGTTGGCCTTGGGCCCTGCCCAGCCATGGAGTGGCGTCCCTGGCTCCTCTGGGGTGGAGTGGCACCGAGCCTTCGGGGTGTGAGGGGCTACATGTGCCAACGACACCCTGCATGGGTTTTCTCTGTACGGCCCGTCCACATGGGTAACCTGTGCCCCTCCAAATATCTGGAGCCACAGTTCCCATCATGTGTCCCCGCTGACTAGGTTGGCTGGGGCTGATGGGAACTGGAGCTCAAAACACCTGGACGGCAGCCATTCGCTACCCTGATACACATTTACTTATTTATTTATTTATTTCCGGATAGCTGAAGCTTTCTGGACAGTTTAGAACAGCTCATAAAGTAGAATAAAATGCCATTTAAAACGCAAATTTAAACCACTTGAATAGAGAAGATGGTTAAAAGAATAAGACTGTCAGAACTGGCTGCTGCTCCCAGCATGAACTGCTCGGTGTTGTTAAATGTCCTGGCGCAGTGGGCAGCTTTAACTTGGCCCCAAGAGGATGGCAGAGCTGGTGCCTGGTGTGCCCCAGGGGGGAGCTTGTTCCATAACTGGGGCTGCCACCGAGAAGGACCCTCTTCTTGTGCACCTGGTTTGATCCCCCTCCAGAGGGGGCCATCAGGGGCAGGCCCAGATCCTGATCACCGTGCCTGGGTAGATGGCCCTGGGAAGAGGCGCTCCATCAAGACTGAGGTTGCTGGCCGTGACTGCAGAGGGTGAGGAAGAGCCGGCAGACCCTTTCCCTGGCCCCCTCGCTGTGGGTAAAACTGCAAATCCGTAAAAAAACCCAAAACCAGAGCTCCTCTCCTACAGCTCTTGCGAAGCAGCTTGACCAGCAGAGCTAGACTTGGGCTGAGCTCATGACCTAACCAGCTCAGCGGGGCCTCTCCGAGTGTTGCGGCTTGGCATGCCTGGTTTTTAAAACCACGGTCAGGAACAACGGTCTCTCCCATGGCTTCCACACCGCACCGTGGTTTCTGTGGTTGTCCAACCCGGCAGCGGGCTTTCCACAAGCCGGGGGTGCAGCTACCGGAGTCCCCCGGAAAGGAACGGCACCGGAGGGCCCTGCTCCTGCCACGCATTTCCTGAATTTCGAGTGGGGTGGCCGATGGCTATCTGAGCAGGGAGGGTGGAATCCATGCTAGCATGGAAACCACGGGATCGTCTGTCTGGCGCATCTGGGCCAAAACTGTGCGCCGTGGAACTGCTTGTTGTGACAAGTGAGCTCGGCCGTAGCTTTTCCAGGTCCGTGGTTGTCATTCATATTCCACGCAGGATTGTCTGGAATGGTTTAGTGGCCATTCTGTTACCCGGGCTGTGGTCCAGAGCTTGGCCGCTGATCGATCGATCGATCGATCGCATTTGTATGCCGTCCCATCGCCAAAGACTCTCTGCCAGGGAAACACTCCTGAGCATTCAAGCTCCACAGTAGAATAGGGTCATCTTACCACTGAGAGAGGTTTGCCATTCGGAGGTGATGCAAAGGCATACTTAAGTTTGCGGGGCGGGGGGGACCTTGAGAGTTTGCAAACCAGCCCAGCTAATGTGCCCCAGTACATAAAATCGTGCCCCCCGCCCCCCCGGTGGGCTGAAGGGAAGATATTTTTTTCTTTTTTTTGGAGGCAGGAGCGGGGAGCCTCCAAAGCAGGGAGTGTGGAAGGTGACCCCTGACGGGAGGGAATGTTCAGGAGAATCGCAACGCATCAGCTTCACACGGGCTCTGGCTTCCCTTGTCCGTGGTGCGTGTCCACCTGGGGAGGAATCTACCCTTGTAAGGCTGCCGTCGCGGTGGGAGAATGCAGTGGAGCACAGACTGGTCCGCCTGGCATTTCTGCCACTTACCCAGGGCCCCCGCTCTGCACCGAACAGAACCGGGAAGTGAGGCGGTGCGAGAGAAACACCCTCCCGGCACGGGCGCTTAGTCTGCCTGCCCCTCGCTTCCTCAGTTTGCATTGCATGGCTGGGAGGGAACTGTCGGGCTTAAAGTGCGGTGCCCCCCTGTTCCCCCCAAAGGGCAGGACCCTTGGCACCAAAAGGCTCTTCTCCCATATCTCACCATGAAGGTAGAGCTAATTTTCCAAGTTCTGCTGTTCCGAAGTGAATGCCGAGCAGGATGGGCGTCAGGGCACCCCAAGCACTGGATGCGAAAGGTTAGCTGTGGTTCCGTTAGGCTCCCCCGAAGGCCCCCCACATTAGGGGAGGACAGCTGCAGAAAGCGGCGGTGGTATTTGCCTGTGCATCACGTGTGTTCGCCCGACATCCAACGCAGGGATCTGAGACGCCAGTTTTCTGGAGGTGAGGGCTAAAAGGCAGGAGCCTCTCAGCTGTGGGGGAGAAGCCAGTAAACAGGAACTTCTTTAAAAGTCGTTGAAATAGCTTAAGACCTGTAACCGAATTGGGTGCACAAGCGTTACGGAAAGGTGCAAGGGGTCATGAGTGTCTGCTAGAAGAAAGAGCGGGAGTCGGGAAGCCCTGTGCCCACCCACGCCGAGGCAATAGATGGGAAGGAACAAGATGCCTTGGAGAGACCGGCTCGCTTGCTCGCTCACTTCTGGAGACGCTGAAGGCGTGCTGGCTGGCCAGTCCGGTCCTAAACGCGGCTCAACTAGGAGTCTGCCTTGCTAGGTGGGTTTAAGTGTGCGCTGTTGCAGCCTTTACGCAAGCAGTTCCTGACACCGGAGTCACTGCGGGCCTCTTGATGCAAGGCAAGATGATAAAAACGCTTTAAAGTTTAGCAAGAGGCGCTTTTCGGTGTAGGTTTGCGGGTTTGCCAGCAACAGGGCTGGCCCCGAGCAAATGCGACAGCGGGGAAGGGGGCCGTGGCACATGCAGGGAGCAGGTGATCCGGGACCAAATCTCCATGTAGCTTTGAACTATACTAACAAATATCTCTGCTTTATTTTTGTGCGTGGCTGGGGAGCAGTGAGAGTTTTAAGTCCCTGAGCCTGCCCACAGTCCCTGCCCAAAGCAGGGAAGAAAGAAAAGGCGGCCCCTCTTGTCTTTCGGCGTGGCTGCAGTTGGAGCAGGCCAGGAAAGAGCGCGAGCAGACGGGGCCAGGCCTCCGCTTGGGGGCAGCCCTCCCATCACGCAGGGTGGTGCGCCTGCCTCAGGCAGCAGCGTGGCAGGCGTGGAAAATGGTGCCACGTTCCCCCGAGCAGCTGCACCCACAGCTGGCTCCCTGTCACTGCCTGTGGACGCTCAGAGAGCCCTCCCAGCTGCCCTTCCGGGTGGCATTTGCCACAGCACCAGAGCAACCGGTGGGGCTCTCTGGAGTGACTGCTTGGGGCACCTCCAGGCATCGGACGTTGCCACCTGTTCCCCCAGGCCCCCTCTCTGCCCACCTGGCCCCCCCTCACTTGTTCGGCTGTCCTCTTGCTTGCTGCTTTTGCTTCTGCCTCCCCACCTGCTCCTGGCCGGAGCCCCAGGGAAAGGCTGGCCGGACTTTCGTGAGCGGGCAGTGCAGTCCTTCAGCTCTGGCAGGAGGCAGGCGCGGCCCAGCGGGCAGGGCTGAGCAGGCCATCGAGCGGTGGCCATCGGCTGGCCAGCCAGATGGGTCCGCCGGCCAAGGGAGTGGCCGAGCGAGTGGTGGAAGCGCCGTTGCGCTGCGTCTGCAAGCAGCCCTCCAGGTTCAGCACGGCTGCAGGTGGGAGCGGGAGTCGGATGCGTGGAGAAGGGCTGGCGTCCCCCTGCTCGCCTCCATACGCACAGGCGCCCAATCCTCTTCTCAGCCTTCCCCAGCAGGCTCCCTCCGGATGCACGGGCATTGCAACACCTATCATCCCCAGCCAGCATGGGAATGATGGGAGCTGTAGTCCCCACCCATCTGGAAGTGTTGGGGAGGCTGCGCTCACAGTGCACTTGCAGTTCCGGGCTCAAGGACAACTTTTAATTTCGCAGCATCTTGGCTCCAGACTGAGTTGGGCCGCTGTTCCATCTCGTTCTGAATTGTGAACAGAGATGGCGGCAGCAACACGGCTCCGTTTCAGGCGGGCATTTTTCCAGCCCTGCATGAAGATGCTCCTGGGATCGAGCCTGCGATCTTTTGCATGCCCAGCAAGAGCGCCGCTTCTG